TGGTCCAGAATCAGGGGAATGCTAAGATGGAGTAAAAACTTCTTTCTCCCTGATTTTGTCACATACTAAAGAGAAAATGGCCAGACCAAAGAATCTGGATCCCATATGATGTATTATATTGAGATTTTTGTGACTGAAGTTACCCTCACTAAATAAATGGGGGTTGCACCAAAGAGGGAATGACAAAACAACCAAAGTAGGTTTTTTTTCCTGATAGACCCCTCTGGAAGTTACAGCAACAGACATATGAGCATAATCTCTTTCATGCGGACCGCTTTAGCTTTCTCATCTCTCAGACATTTACCCAGTGATTTTTACCTTGACAGAAACAATTCACTAACTTACAAGTGTCATGGCAAGAACATCAGCTTCATGTTTTACATTAAAATGTACAAAATTGGTTCTCTGACCCACTGTTTAAACTTAAAAGTTCCTTGCAACTTAAGAGAGAATTTTTTTAAATTAATGACTAATACAAAAATCTCTCTTCCCAATTACAAATTATATTAGAAAGAGTTTGTTCTCAGTATTTTTTTACGTGCGTTAAAATTACGATTCATTGCCTTCACTGAAATCTGAAATTTGCTTCCCAAAATGTAACTAACATTTTGTATGAATTTTTTTGTAATTATTATGCACATAAATATGTAAGTCTTATATACATAAAGGCTCATAGAAAGCAAATTCTAGCTTGAAAGCAGGCACACACAGTATAGGAAACCCTTGACATTTTTGCCGGGCACAGGATTGTTTGTTGACTTAGTAGTAACACAGCTCCCTAGATATCTGGAACAAGTACAATTAAGAAATGTAAGGAGGGATTCACCCACGGTTTTTATGGCTAAGACCATGTCCACTTAGAGGGGCTTTCTATTGATGTGATGAGAGAAAATGCGTTTTAACTCTGCACACTTCCAGTAAGTCTTACATGTGCAATTCAAGTATCGATTGGAAGAAAAAAAAAGTTCCAAATATTCTACAAATTCCCTAATCAGCTTTATCTACTGCTTCTTTCCAATCAGTACTACATCTGAGAGAATCAAAGTTGAAGAGGCTTCTTCAAGATTGCCTTCTATTCTAATAACAGGAAACCTTCTCAAGAAACATATCCAGTACTGTGTTTGCCTAAGGAAGAATTTATACATGAGTACTTTCAGAGAAATGTTTGAGGGTGAGACCATTGTACTAGTGCATGAGACAGGAAGTACAAGGGATCATTGACACTATAGTGCAATGAACAATAAGAAAATGCAGAAAAAAGACAAATTCAAAACAATATTAGATACATGGCTAAGGAGAAACTCTTGTTTTTCCCCAAATAGGGACAGTTAAGATGTTGGTTTCCAAACAGCATCAGTTCATTAATAATGCCAAAACACAGATTTAACACACATAGATTTAACTTTACATTAAGGCCTAATTCTGTCAGTTACTACTTTTTGCAGAGTACAGTATCACTCCATGTAAGTAAGGGTGGTGGAATCTGACCTTGATTTGCTATGTTTTAAAGACGGCAGTTGAGAAAACATTTCTAGTCTACATAGATAAGGGCTTATTAAATATACTTTGATCTTTCTTGCTTTGACATTAGCTAACTTGACAAAGACTGAAGAAGACATATATGCTTAAAGTTCAGAAAGCATAAAGGAAAATGAGCCCCATTAGCAGCTTTCTTTTGGCGGAGGAAGCAGAGATTGTTCAAGATGAATAATGAATCATATTTTACATTTAAAGGCTTTATTTTTTAGGATAGATTTCTATAGTAGCTGCCTTCCTTTCATGTTCCCACAATTCCTGAAAAACTGCACATTAATCAACATTTAAAAATTCTGCAGTGTACAAAAGATATGGTTGCTAAATGTCCTTTGTAGAAGGAGTTTAGGGATTGGAAAGTTAATGCAAAATGTTTGCTTAGCTCCATAAATATGAACTTTAGAATCTACTTTAAGACCGTAAAATTCAAAAGTACTGGCTGTAGTGGTTAATGAGTTTCTTATGTAGAAAGAAATGCAAAAAGGAAAACCGCGATCAATTTGAAATTCACTGAGCTGTAAAAAATTGTCTACATCTCAACTGTATTGTAACCATTCCCTAAAAGTAAATGCTTAATAAATATACATGTTCTGGGTGAATATAGGTGATTTACATAGTATTTACTGATTGGAATGCCATATTAACTCACTGCATTTACTGAGCTAGGAAGGTACATTAACTGCTAATACCATCTGTCTCATGCTATTTCATTATGGGAAACAACCTTAAAAATCACAGAAAGGTCACTTAAAATTGACATTTCAATAAAAAATGCTAAGGAAATAGGAATTACTTACAGTATTTACTATAATTACTGAAAAATTCTGAATAAGCTAGAAATAATTGTACTGGGCTTGTATGCATCTTTCAATTCTTTCTGCCATTCCTTTGAAATGTTCATTGCTGTCCTTAGCCTTTCCACTTGGGATATACTTTTTTACATAAACTTAATGTACACTGTGGAGAAAATTCATTTAGCTCTCCTAGTGGACTGGTGTTGAAGAGCAAGAGAATATGGCTATACTCTGCAGACACAAAGAGATCTAATCAAAGAGAAAGGTGCGTCAAACAGCCTATATGCTGGATCCAGTCCACTGGCCTACTGGTAGGCAAGGTTTTGGGGGCCATAGTTTGCTCTGCAGAATCCACTGTGGCATTGTCAGAGCCAGGATATCAAGCCAGAAAAAGGATAGGACTTCACTACAGCAATTCCCAACAGGGCTAGGGACAGGAGAACAGAATTTCCTTTTCTTGCACCCCAAAGTTCCAAACAGAAAAAAGATATGGCTCCTCTTAAATAGAGGCATTTATTAGAGGACAAAGGCCAGCCAGCCTGGGGTTCACTGCCATCTCCAAAGGGTTAAGCAGTTTCTCTATCGCCAATTTAGCTTGTACAGCCCTGAGCTCCTCAAAGTTACTTCATCTCTTCTCTTTCCAGTCCAAACAGCCTCAAGTCCCTAGCTACGAACTCTTTCCAGATTCCCTGGCTCCCAAACTGACTCCCTTCTTTTCAGGACACTCCATCCATTGTGATATGCATTTGTCAGCTTCCCTGGATTCCCAGGCCATAGGGATCTACATTCTAACAGAAGATGTAATCTTTTTATTATTCTCTTCTCTTTTACACATGATGGACAGGTGAATGGATAAAATAAAAACTCTACAGCCCTGCCCCCTACTCTTCATGGCTAGGGTCAGACATTCAAAAAGCCTGAGCCTGAATTGATTCAATATTTGCAGGTTAGTCTAACCTGCCTAGGCTGAATCAGTTTGTAAAATGCACAGACATCCCCTCTGGACTGAAAAAAATGCAGGCACATGCCTGCAGTGGTTCAGGCTAGAAGCTGGGGAGCACTAGAGCAGCCCTCCTTTCCCTCCTACAACGCTGAGCTGAGGGGGTTGTGGCCAGGCCCTGGCAGGACTCTCTGATTAGGGATGGGTTTTAACCCCCACCTTGCCTGCAGTCCCAGACTATTCCCTGCTTGCTGCCCAAGGGGAAGAAGTGTTGCCAAACCCTGCATCTGTTGATACTGAGCTTTTCAATGTCCATCTCCCCCTCTTGTTCAGACTGTCTGCAGACCAGGTGTAACATCTTTGCTGTCCCTTCTTGAAGACTGACAGATTGCAGCTAATTTTATCAGCCCATCAAGCCCTCATTGGTTTCAAGCTCTTCTTATCTTCAGGGTGCAGCTGCAAGGCACTAGCGGCCTGCCTTTGCTCCAGTGAAACTGGGACCCACACAGATACATCTCAGCATTAGGTAGCGTGTGGGGGGGAGGAAGGGACATGGCCAGATGCTGGGCCCTTTGACTAGGACCCTGCCATGGGAGAGAGGCAGAAGGAAGGGATCCTGGCTTGAGCAGCCAGAGGGAAGGGGGAAGCCTGGCAGCTACTGCAGTCCCTCAGCCAGCTGGAGCAGTGATAGTGCTCTGGATAGGAAGGAGAGGGGCAGGGCCAACCCTGCTCTGCTCAGCAGACAGCCCCGTCCAGCCCAGAGAGCATGCCGGGACGCTGGGGGACTCTGATTTAACTTAAACCAGCAAGGGGTCTGGGACAGACATTGCCTAAACTGGTTTGACACAAATCAGTTAAGTCTGATACTGCATTCAACCAGGTTCATCTCAAAATGGTTTCAGCCATTTTCAGACTGGTTTATATGCACTGAACATCTCTTCTGTTAAAGGTTTAAACCAGTTTCTGATCACTTAAACCGATTTATGTGTAATGTTTGTCCCTAACCCATATGAACAGGAGCAGAGAAGATTGAACTGCAGCTGGCCCGTTTAAAGAGGTATGGAATGGATGATGGGATAGCCCCCTGGCCTCCTACTATCATGGAAAAAGAGAGAAAGAAAAACTGTTCAAGAAGGGAGGAGAAGTAGAGCTAGGTAAATATTGGGAACATTTTTTTCCCCATGAAGTATTCCTTATCTAAGAATCTAGCCCCAAACTCAAATTCTTAAAAGCATGGCAGATTCCTAATATAAAAATCTGAGATTGCATATGGAATCCTAACCATCATCTCAGCACAATGGATGGCTAAATTTTTAACAGGTAATGTGAATCATCTGAAATTAACAAACTTCTCAGATTAACATATCTTCACTATATCACTTCTTAGACAATAATATTTTTTAAAAAATATTTTTTAAAAATGTCTCAATTGTATAAACAATTGTACACAACTGTATAAAACAACCATATGAAAAAGCAATTGGTAAGGCAAACATGCAGAACACAGATTTTGGTAAACAAAACTCATTTAATTTAGTGCTTTTGGTGGTTTAATCCACCCCTGCCCCAATTTAAATTAGCTATTTACTTGAGAATAAACACCATGCAATAAAGCCCCACTAACCTTGTGCACACTTATAACTTGGAAACCGGTTTCAAATAAAAGTCCATGATTCCAGGTAATGTATCAAAATGCTCTGCAGAGAACCATATATTAAAAAAGTGATCCTCACCTGTAGAAGTATGAACAACCCCTGACTGTGTTGTGAGTAAAATGTTCCTGAGTCTTTTCATTTCCAAAGTCCTCTAGGGGATCTGACCACAGGATATCACACATAGGTCCATATGCAGGTGGTTCCTTGAATCGATCTAACTAAGAAAAATAGGAGACAGGAAGAAATGCTAACTACATATCATAGAGGCATCCAAACAAAACATGAATGATAAACTTGTATTTCAGGGACTTCTGACTTGAGACCCATAGCATTCTGCAATTTGGCTCACAGTTGCTCTCAGCTTTAATATGGCAGATTTTTGGCTGATGAAAGGACATTATTTGCTGGTGCCTCCAGCATGATCGAGAAGTATTTCAGCATTACAGAGCGAGAAAGAGGGAGAAACATTCTACTCCACACTGCCTCTTTGTTTGCATCTCAGGCTCCCACAATCTCCAGTGCAAAATTTGGGAGCCTGTTATATTTATGACTTCCAGGAAGCATGACATTTGATTCAAGGAATTAAGAACTTTCTAATAGAAAATTACAGTAGTTATATATGAACACATTTTTTGCTTTCAATTTAAACTAATAGCCATTGTTTTAAATTGCTGAGGCAACACCTGAATACTGCAATATCTTGCTGTGATATTCTTACAGGTCACATTAATCTCTATTTTAACCTAATTTAGACAGTTAAAAATCCCTTTTTCTTCCTTATTCGTATTAAAAAATGAGTAAATTATACAGAAGCATGCTGTGGATGTGACAAAGCATAGGAAACTAGAAAAATATATTTAAAAAATTAAATAATAATAATAATAATAATTAAAAAAAAAAAATCAATCACTGTTGTCATGACCACACTAAGATATATATTTTTTAAAACTTTGTAAAGATAGGTGTGTAAATCAGACTGACAGTCTATCAAATTCTCCACTCTGTCTAGGAAGCACAAGTAATGATGCAGTAGCATATTTTTTTCTAATATTCAAAAGGAATGAGGTGATTTTTCATGTTTTCAACACTAAATTAAAAAGTGGTAATAAGAGAAGACCTCTGAATTTCTACACGTTCATGCTAGTCATAAAAGATTCATTGCAAAAGTACATTTCTAACTTGTTTCAGGCCTTTAAATAATTCATGTCTTTGTAACTAAAAAAAGTGAAATAATACATGTTCATAAATATGCAAAAACATTTTCCAGGCGACTGCCAAGGATGAATAAACCCACTGGGGAAAAAAGTTCAGAAGATTTTCATGACTGTAACCTGGTATCTGAGTGTTAAACTATTTGAACCTGCCATTATGCTATATTGTTGAAACAACTAATTTTTAGGCAGGGAATAATTATTTCAGTGTAATGAAATAAAAAAACCCAACAACCTCTCTCTTATAGTTTAGAATTTCCATTCAGTAATTAAAATACAAGTAATGCTGTTAATTAAAATACAATCTAGGAAAAAACAGAGCTGCATTTATTGGTACAATAATTATTTTGCTTATGAATTCATTAGGCCCCCTCTACCTGTTATAGGTACCACACAATAAACTGGTTCATTGTGCAATTATCTTGAAACCAGCTACATGTGCAAAGTAACTATAAAAGCTCCAACCAGCTACAAAGTTAGACCTTGAAAACATATACTAATTTTATTGCTGGTTGCTATTGAGCTTTAATTTGCACATGCAGCAGGGTCTCCCTTGTGGCTGGGAGCCCTGTCAGCTGTGAGCTTCTAGCTGCAGAGGTGCACCTTGCCTGTCTGGGGCTGCGAGTCCTGTAAATGCTGGGGACTCTGGGTCCCAGCAGCATCCCACTGGTGCTGGAACCCAGAGTCCCATAGCTGCAAACTCTGAGTCCCTGTTTTGTACCTCCCAGTGCAGCAATGCAGATGGGTCCTGGTAGCACAGGGCGCAGCTAAAATGTACAGTCCCAGGGGTGCATGAAACCCCGGGGGCGGGGAGATCACTGAAGCAGCCATCTCCCTGCCCCAGTGTTTTCACATATCCCCAGGGCTGGGAGGTCACTGCAGCTGCAGTCTCCCTGCTTTGGGGCTTTCACACTCCGCTGGGACTGGGAGGTTGCCAGAGCTGCGATTTCTCCATCTGCAAGGTTGGGAGACTTGCAGGGCAGCAGGGCAGACCCTACGAGGAGAGGCTACAGGACCTGAACCTGTTCAGCCTCCACAAAAGAAGGGTGGGAGGGGATCTGGTCGCCACCTATAAACTTGCCAAGGGGGACCAGCAGACAGTGGGAGAGTCCCTGTTCCTCCGAGCACTACCGGGGGTAACAAGAAATAACGGCCATAAGTTGACCGAGAGTAGATTCAGGCTAGACATCAGGAGGTGCTACTTCACTGTCAGGGCGGCTAGGAGCTGGAACCAACTTCCAAGGGAAGTGGTGCTTGCCCATACCCTGGGGGTCTTCAAAAGGAGGCTAGACAGCCACCTAGCTGGGGTCATTTGACCCTAGCATCCTTTCCTGCCATGGCAGGAGGTCGGACTAGATGATCTGCT